GGTGGAACAAATCTGTGCTGTGCATTTCAGGAGAGTTGGCATGGCTTTCCCAGCATATGCCACTGTAATAATGAAAAACCCCTCCATAACTTCTAAATGCCCCATAAGGAGGCAATACTAAACCTACTAAACCTGAGAAGCACTATTCCAAAAGAACTCTTATATGTGTGTATTCAGGAAATATTATCAGTATTGTGTACAATAATAATAAACACGAAATGATGTCCATTGGTAAGAAATGGATAAGTTGTGGCATATGCATATAATGGAACACTGTAATATAGCGAGGAAAATGAACTGCAAAAACATGTTGGATAACAACAACAAAATGCAAGTAGCTGAAAGACATATATGATTCCATTTAAATAAAAGTTTGAAGTGGACAAAACTCAAAGACGGTCAGAGATACATATGTATGTGATAAAACTATTTAAAAAAGGAAGTGAATAACTGATAGAGTTCAGGATAGGGTTCCCTTTTCAGGATAGAGGTTCTCTGGAGAGAAGGGAGAGGGGTACAATTAAGGAAACATACACACAGGACTTTTGTTTCTTAAGCTCAGTGATGGAGATGCCGGTTGTTTTACTCTTCTTCAAACTCTACATACTGTATGATAATATATAGTTCACAATTTTTAAAAGTTTATAAAAAAAAAACCTTCTATATAATGTGTCAATAACATGCAGAAGCAGGTATGCAGATCTGTGTTAAAGGCAGTAATACAGTATCATTCCTGCCTGTGTCCCTATCATTTGTGAAAGAGCAGAGGAATGAATGAAGCTGCTGACATACAGTACCTGCCCTGAACCACAACCTGGAAAATTCCTTTTAACATTTTTTTTTCAAGATTTTACTTATTTATTTGGGGGGGGGTGCAGAGGGAGAAGCAGACTCCCCGCTGAGCAGGGAGCCTGCCTCCGCGGCTTGATTCCAGGACCCTGGGATCATGACTTGAGCCGAAGGCAGACGCTTAACCGACTGAGCCACCCAGGCGCCCTCCTTTTAACATTTTTTAACTTATACTTTCCTTATGCTAATAGTATGAGATCACAGGCAAACAAAGGCCAAATGCATATGTATCATCTCACATTGTTGGACAGAACAGAATTACACATACATAAGTTCTCTAGATAACTCAAATCCCTAATCTCTTACATTTATACAGTAAATAAGTTTATAATGTATATTTGCATTCATTATAATAAATTTGACTGAATGCTTACTATGTTTCTGGCCCTGTAGATAGATTCTTGCTCTTAAAGAGCTTACCACAAAGTGATAGGCAGGCAAAATAGGGGACCCCCAACGAGTATTTTAATAGATTTAAAGAAAAATAAGGAGGTGGTCAATTCAAGATAAAGCACAGGAGAGATTTCATAAAGAAGTTACATTTTACAAAGTTATAAGGAATTGCCTAGGCAGATTTGGGAAGAAAGACAATTCCAGAAAAAAAGAACCAACATAACCACAGGACAAAAGCCAGGGACCTTAAGACTTTTCTAAAACACTGTTAGGGGGCGCCTGGGTGGCTCAGATGGTTAAGCGTCTGCCTTCGGCTCAGGTCATGATCCCAGGGTCCTGGGATCGAGTCCCGCATCCGGCTCCCTGCTCAGCGGGGAGCCTGCTTCTCCCTCTGCTTCTCTCTCTCTCTCTCCGTCTCTCATGAATAAATAAATAAAATCTTTAAAAAAAAATAAAATAAAACACTGTTAGTAATTTGAAATATGTGGGGTGGGTTGGGGTGGGGAATGCCGCACTAGAGAGCTCTGTGTTTTATCCTAATCCTACAGACAAAGCCATGGAAGGGTTGCAAGCAGTAAGTCTGGTTTCATGTGCTCTCTCTCTCTCTCATTCTCTCTCTCAAATAAATAAAATCTTAAGAAAAAAAAAATTGCTTTGGCAACAGGGTTAAAGAACAGACTGGAGGGGGTAGTGTGGAGAGTCAAGAGGCCAGGAGGGAAGACAGAAAATTCCAATAATTCAGAGAAAAGATGAAAACCTAGAAGTAAGGCAGTTGCATAGAACATAAAGGACAAAATTTACAGTTACTTGAGAGAAAAAATTAGGGTGACAGACATAGGGGAGAGTATGTGCTATGGGTGAACCCTGTGAATTGTGGAACACTGATGAAGCACAGACCTGTACTCCTAAAACAAATAATACATTATATGTTAATAAAAAAACTAAAAAAAAAAGATAAAATGAACAGAATTGCAAAAGTATAGACTAGTATAGTATAAAATAATAATAGAGAAAGAAAAAAGTCACTAAAATTGAGACACAAGAGTTAAAAAAGTAGACAAAGGCCACCTGGGTGGCTCAGTTAAGTGTCTGCCTTTAGCTCAGGTCATGATTCTGGAGTCCCGGGATCAATCCCCAGATCCCCAAATCGGGTTCCCTGCTCAGTGGGGAGTCTGCTTCTCCCACTGCCCCTCACCCTGCTCATGTTTTCTCTCTCTCTCTCAAATAAATAAAATCTTTAAAAAAATTTTTAAAAATTAAAAAGTAGACAAGAATCACAGAATCGCCTGAAACCAATATTGTACTGTATGCTAACTAGAGTTGATATAAAATTTGAAAAATAAAATAGGCCACTGGGGCGGCAGGGGGAAGAATCATAGAATCAGTAAGTCAAAGAAGAGATTTTCAGGAAGAAGGGAGAGGTCAGTAACTTGAAATGATATAGAAAGCATAAGCAGAATACAATGAACAATCAGTCACTGGATGTGGCAGTTAGGTTGACCTCTGTTAGCTGTTTCAGTGACGTGGAAAGACAGAAGCCTGATTGAAGCAAAGTCAAAAGAGAAGTAGTAGGAAGGAGCAGAGTTTTTTCTAGACTGGTAGAGAGATAGTTTACGCTTTTACACAGAAGACATGAGCATAATTTGGGCTGCAATGAAAAGGTTGAAGATACAGCATTAGAGGGATAACTGATGGGAAAAGTCGTAGTCATGACATGAAGGGACAGACAGGATCAAACAAGGGAAGGGACCTTTGTTACGTGAGAGAGAGGCATTGAGGCAGACTTCATTCAGTAAATGTTCCAGAGTATCATTTCATAGTAATAGATCTATAAGATTTTTGAAATTTTAATGTTCTCAGTATAAACATGCTCAGATGAAAAGGGTAGTAGAGTAGCACAGAGGTCAGAGAGAAGGCTGGAATTTAAGGGAGTTCCTGCTTGATATTTTCTCTGTTAAGTTACCAGCCAAGCTTTTGGGGGGAATGGAGAGATGGTAGGTGATGTGTAGAAAGGGATGCATGTTCAAAATACCTGCTCAAACAATGAATAAAACAACCTTTTATTCAAGATCTACTATGTACTGCATGCGGTAAGAAGTGCTTCTGTACATATTATCTCTTTGATTCCCAAACAATCCTATTGTTTTCATTTTACCAAGGGAAAACACTGAGGCTTAGAGGTTAAATAACCACTGAGAGGCATAAGGACTGCACTGAGATCTGAAATCATTTTTTCTAAGTGGCAACAATTTACATGATTGTGTCATTTTCTCCTGCTGTGCCTCTCAGACCAAGAACAGCAACAGACCCAGCATTGTGGGTTCACAGGGTTAGGGAAGGTATGGCAGAAGACAGAGAAATGGGGAGTTAAAGATACGGGAAAAGAGCAATTTAAGTAGTTGATCACTGGGTCTATGGCTGAGGGAAACTAGGCAGACTTGGGAAAAAATAAAGGAATCAAGTAATTTGAGAACACTTAGCAGTAGTAAGAAAATCAGTAAAATAACAAATTGAGGTAAGAGTAGGATCCTTAAAATGTCACTGATCAAGTTTAAGATGATGACAAGGGCCAGAATGGGCCAATGGCACTGAGGAATGGAGGTCATTAAGTAAGATGAAGTTACATTGTCTCCCAATTTTGATCTTCACTAATCCACAGCTGTCTATACCTCACAAGCCTTTACCCTTCAATATTTGGTCTATTTTTTACAATTATGTGATTCCTTGCCTGTGTAAATGAGTATGGATATCAATTTAGCCTTTTCCTAGTGATCTGAAGTCATCATTATTATCATCATTTTGAGGAACAGGAGTGCTTTTCTAGTTGGGGATTCTTCCATCTCTTCCTTTGAGGCAGCTTTTATTTTCACTGCTATCAGTACCCAGCTACTACAGATCATCTCCAACTTATGACGGTTCCAGTTACAGTTTTTCAACTTTACGATGGTATGAAAGCCACAGGCATTCGACAGAAACCGTACTCTGAATTTTTTTTTTTCCAAGCAGGCGATGTGCAGTAAAATGCTCTCTCATGATGCTGGGTGGGGGCAGTGAGCCGCAGCTCCCAGTCGGCCACGCAAACACGAGAACAACCGATACCCTGACAACCACTGTGTGTATTTACAACCATTCTGTGTTTCACTTTCAGTACAGTATTCAATTACATGAAATATTCAACACTGTATTATAAAATAGGCTCTGTGTTAGATGATTTTGCCCAACTCTAGGCTAATGTATGTTCGGAGCACATTTAAGGTAAGCTCGGCTAAGTGCTGACGTTTGCTAAATTAGGTATATTAAATGCAGTTCTGAATTACAACATTTTCAGTTTATGATGAGTTTATTGGGATATAACCCCATTGTAAGTTGAGGAAGATCTAATTTCTAATTTGCTATAATATGGAACAAAACAAGTGTTTTTAAGAAAAATTGGGTAACAAAACCAGGAAGTTGAATTTTACACAATATTATACTCATATTGTATCATCTGAGGGTGGTTTTCTTTCTTTGGATTGAAGACTAGCAATTGTGGCAGGGCTTTTACACTTCTAAGTGGATGAGATAACCCAACAATTATTTAACCTACTGGCTAACTGGGAGTTCTAGATATTACTTTTTTTCCCAAAAAACCTCTAATATTGAAATTTACTACTTCCTACACCATGATATAAAAATGTTTTTCTTAACATTAAGTACAATTTATTCTCTTTTGCATGGATTTGTAGAACAATTACAAGCACTCTAATGATAATCATTACCTCTTTCTTGGCTTCTTTTTTTGGATCATAATCACTATCATTTCCATCCATTGGGTGTGTTTCTTCTACATCATCATCACTGAGAAGAAACAAATTAGTAAACTTAATTCCCTTTTTATTCTATTCCAGTGCTCTTATCAAATTGCAATACACCTTGCTAATAATTTCACTAGACATTCACCAACAAAACAAGAGGTGTCCTTGGGAAGATGACCTTCTATAATTTAGATTTTTGTAGTGTTTAGAAACATTTATCTTTTTGGGTATATAGAATCAAGTTAGCAAACATGTCTACCTAAAAGACAGAGATGCAATAGGAAAGAAATTTAGAAAGAATATCATTTGGGAAAGAGAACACATATATTAATTTGATATAATACTTATTTCATTTCTCCAGTTGGAGGATAAACACAAACACCAATAAGCAAAATGATTTTGTACCACCAGAAAGATATAGCTACAATAATGTGGACTTCAGTTACTCAGGTAATTGTATTCAGGCAATTATGGAAAGAGCATCTTCTAGAGAATATATTTCTTCATGTATTCTAAGGATATGTACTGAATATATCAATACTAAAAGGAAGCACTTGCAAGTACAGTTAAACACAGCTCAAATATAACTCAGTTGTAGTGTTTGCTGGCGATGATTAACAGTTAAAGAGTTAAAGTCCTTAACTATTAAGATTTCTGATCATTCAACTCTTCCTGGAAACATGAATGTAAGGTTAAGAAGTATTTACAATGTGTTGTGATAATTTTTCTACCTTAGGAAATGTAAGCAATCCAATACAGTGTCCCTAACAATATAACTATATAAAGGCATCCAACCTACCTGTCACCCTGATTATGTCTATTGGCTAGTTTACGAGCCTGGCGATCCATCAAGCTTGTCCTGGATCGAGTTTTTTTCCAGGAATAGTAATATTTTACAAGGCTAGCAATTGTCTTATCTGGAAGCTTGGGGAAAAAAAATCATGTTAATATCAGCAAGTTTAATTCATAAACTCTGATTAACAGAAATGAATAATATTTCTGATATTATTCTTTGATACTTAAAGGCATAGATGAAAAATATTTTCATGGGTACATTTAATAATTACAGAACTAAAATGTACTGTTACAGTCATAGTAACCCACCACACCTATGTCATTGACATTTCTGAATGAATATTCCTATTTGTTCTGAGAGGGAAGGGGAGACAAGAAAGTCACAAACATGGTAACAATGCACCCAGATGTCCCCAACACAATGTTAGCATTCAGTGTTTTGTTTTTCTTAAAGAGTTACTCTTTTCTTCCCACCTCTATAAGTTGAAATTTTAAAACTGATACATAATTAACATACCTGAAAATCCACCAGTTTAAAATGTACAATTCAGTGGTTTCTAGCATATTCACTAAGTTATGCAACCATCACTATTTAATTCCAGACATTTTCATAACTTCAAAAAGAAACATTAGTAGTCATCCCCTGGTCTTGCCTTACCCCAGTCTCTTACAACAAGTAATCTACTTTCCATCTCTATGGATTTGTCTATTCTGGACATTTCATATAAATGAGATCATACACTATGTGACCTTTCATGCCTGGCTTTTGTCAGCATCATGTTTTCAAGAAAAGCTATTCAATTTTCGACAATGAATTTTTTGAATCATTTGTCTTAAATCCAGGTTTGAAGATGATAAATAATATAATCAGACTTTAGCTACCAAATAAAGTCTCTGGGTATTAAAATGACTAATCATCATGCACTGATTTGTCATATTGGCAAACAAGGACACATACTCCCAATCAAAAAGGCTCTCTTCAATTATGGAACACACTTAGATATATTTGCAAACATGATCTAATTTTCATCCGTTCAGGTTAAAAGATTCTAATGCAGCAACTTCTCAGGTTTATATTCTTTTGACACAACACTAAAAATTTAAAAACTAGAAATAGTTTTTCTCCTTAAAAACAACAGTGCCTAAACAATATTGAAATACAGAATTTTTAAAAATTGATTTTCACATCCAAAGGAATATAAAGTAGAAAATACAATCCTAATGTTAAAAAATGAAACATTTAAAAATAAAATTGAAATTATGATTTTTTCTCCTAGAACAAGCACATTTAATATACATATATTTAAGTCATAACAAAACAGAATTACAATGAAATAGCACATAACTGTCATGCAGTAGAGTGGTTATCGAAAATAGGGTACATACAAATGTATAGGTATTTTAAGTATCAAATATTTTTAAATATTAAAATTAGACTGAAAACTTTTTTGTATTTAGTAATCAGGAAGTGTTTAATAACTGTATATCTTTCAGGTATGAATTACAGTAAAACCAAAATTACCATACCATTTGCTGAATCCTGTGAAAGCTCTTCCCATGAAAACTAAAGGCTTGTTCAAACAGGACTTTATCTTCCACTGTCCACTCATCCGGAAAGGGAGTGAAATTAGGGAGATCAGCAAGGGACTTCTCAATGTTATGTTTATGCCAGAACAACATGCCAAGTGCCTTTGAAGAGAAATCATTCCCCTTTCGTTTTAATGGACTTATGTTCCATCACACTTAAGAGAGTTAAACACAAATTAGGTTAAAATCTTAAGCCCATGACTTCAACTGAAAATACACTCACAGTTTAGAGCTTTTAATCAGGGATGCCCAGGTAGTAGACCTCATTTATTTATTTCTTTTAAATCAGGGCCTCAGAACAGTGAATGTTCTTACATACCACATTTGCTGCATAATCTAGGAAAAACAGTGAGCTGAGGAGAGTGACTGTAATTACTAAAGCAGGTGTGTAGACTCGTATCAAGACTGACCCACATTTACTCATTTGTCAATGTGTAGAGAAAAACATGCTAAAAGGAAAAATATCCAGTAAATACTTGAATAAAACTATCAATCATAACACCAAACTAGAAGTGCTCAGTTGAGACACAGTAGAAAAATATTTAAGTTTTAACATTTTAGGAGTATATACCATGGGCTGAACAGTTTCAAGGAGTACCTCAATTGCAACCTTAATAATATTTACCACATATATTTTTTAAAGTTCTTTATTGTCATAATGCACACAAAGAATTATTATGAAGCATATTAATAACTTCAATGACTTTATTACCAAATCAGAGGAAAGCCCGAAATGGGTAATTTCTAAACTTCCACAACTTTCCCTTCTATAGTTAAGTAAGTCGTAGGTCTTTATCTTTACTATAAGGTACTGAGTATCAAATTTCACTTTTTAAGAAGAGATATAGCAACTTTTTATTTTTATTTTATTTTTTTATAAAGATTTTATTTATTTATTTGACAGAGAGAGCGGCAGTCAGAGGGAGAGGGAGAAGCAGTCTCGCCACTGAGCAGGGAGTCCGACATGGGGATCGATCCCAGGACCCTGGGATTGTGACCTGAGCTGAAGGCAGATGCTTAACCGACTGAGCCACTCAGACGCCCTATAGCAACTTTTTAAATAGTAAGTTTTAAAATTAATTTCTGTACTTTAGTAATACTCCTTTAAAATGAACATATGTGCAGTCACATTTTAAAGGATTAACGTCTCAAACAAATATTAAACAAAGTCAAGAATTAAAAACAAAAGAATCAAAGGCTTCAAAAATCACAAAAAAAGTTAACTATGTTTAGATAAAAATCTCAATTTCTAGAAATGACTTTGTATTATTTAACCATGGTGCTAACTATAAAGTTAGCTCTTAATAATCCAGATTACAGATAATTCACTTATCTTACTATTTTGATAAAGGTTGATCTAATAATTAGTTGAAAATAGATTTAAGAATCTCTATTTCATTTTTATTTTTTCATGTTCTTCATTCCCTCATTACAAGGGATAATGAATCATATGTCCCGTGTAGATCTCCTTTTAAAGTTATCTAATAAAAAAGCCCCCCAAAAAATAAATTAAAAAATTAAAAAACAGCCCTTCATAAATTATTTCTTTCAAAACTGAAGTCTTAAATATTTCTTTAAATAAAAAGTTTAACTTCTAGGTCTTTCAGATTAAAAGATCACAGAGAATTACCTGTACTCAAAAAAAAAAAAATTCCTTTTGGTAAGCATTTGCCAGAATAATATAAATGCTTTCAGATACCTTTAGAACTCAAAGCAGAGTAAGAAACAGAGGTATTGAGAGAAAATGTTCAAGCCCTTGAGATGAACAATGTTTATAAAAGCAAAATCCATAATTTTGAAAGGTCAGACTTTGCTAGGACTTTTGTGGTATCTGTAAAATTGGTTGAACTGCACTTTCTTAGGATAGAAACAACCAGGAGATGTTTTTTGGATTTGGTAAATACTGAGGCAAGCTTTAATATTAAAATGTTTCTCTACATACCTGTTCCACATTGTAGCCATGTTTCTCCTTTGCAATTGCAATATATTCATCCACTGCAATGAAACAATGTTACATAATTAATTATTCTTATTTACTTCATGTGCTCAAATCTAGTTTTTTTTTTTAACAAAGCAAAATAAAAATATTATACTCCAGGGCTTTTCCAGGGAAAAGTCCTTTTCCATGAAATGTTACAAAAAAAGACTTTTACTTCTACAAACAGGATCAGAAGCTTCCTTGATTTAAAATTTTGCTTAGTATGATTTATCTCTAAGATTATACAGCATATACTTATTAAATTCAATGATGTTATATAATTATTTTTGTATATAAAAAAGACCAATCTGTATATAGCCAACAGAACCTAATTACAGTGTAAAATATTAGATAATTTCTTCATTTTTCTGTTGCAGTCTTTATTTGAAGGGACTTAGCTGTTTCAGACCCCATCTCGTAGTAAGAGTTGGCCCAAAGCCTTTACCTTCCCACTTCTGACTGCTGTACAAAGGATGGTTTATCTCTGGTTTTGCCAGCTATACGTAATAACGACATGTTTAAATATGCTTCGGTAGCCCTAAATTTTCTTCAGCTCTTCCTGCAAGCTGTACAGAAGGTGTCTGAATATTCCATTTTCATTCATCCTCCATATGTAATCAAGCCAACAGAATTACTTAGATAAGCATAGCTTCAATGATGAGGTACTAGCTATTTTAAGGCCTCACTGCTGAGATGTCTGCCATTTCAGTCAGGAGGACTGTTTTATGTGAAATCCATATAGTCACTCCTGTTTGATCCTTTTTTAAGTATATATATATATATATATATATATATATATGAAGTGTGTGTGTGTGTGTGTGTGTGTGTGTGTGTATGATTTATAAAATTCTCTTTAAGCATATTTGGAGAAGCAGAGGTTAACAATTCTGATCCCAGAACAGCTAGTTTACCAGGGCTTGATTTTCAGCCTTGCTGCTAATTTTCTGACTAGAGGCAATTAACTCTTCCTTTCTGTACCTTACTTTCCTCACTCTAAAACAGTACCTTCTTCCTAGGATTAAATGAGCTAATATATATCAAGTGTTTAGAATAACACTTGGCACATTTTAGGTACTTTATATGAGTTTGCTATTATTACTAGTCAATATAAGATAATTTAATATATAAAAATGATATTATAACAATAATGCTATTAGAATAACAGCTATTTTTTATGGATGCTATTATAGTTCCCTAAGACTGTAAACTTTTGCAGAAAATCCAAATATTATATAATGTTTGTTTAGAACTTAAATACATAGCACTTAAACACAAGACAGGTCTAAATATAAGCTTTTTAAATTTAACAAAAATGTCCTACAGTCCTATAAACAGAAGGCTAAACAACACCAGTCAATCTGTGGTTTCCAACCTTTGCTATGCATTAGAATCAGTGGGGGAGCCTTTAAAAAGTTAAGTTCAGGAGCACCTGGCTGGCTCCGTCAGAAGAGTGTGCAACTCTTGATCTCGGGGTCATGAGTTCAAACCTCATGTTCAAGCCTCATACAGAGATTACTTAAAAATAAAATCTTTAAAAATAAATAAAATAAAAAATAAAAAGGAAGTCCAGACTCCACCCCTAAAGATTCTGATTTGATTGGTTTGAGATAAAGACCAGACATCAGTACTGTCTTTTAATAAGTTCCCCCAAATGATCCCAATGCACAGCCAGGGTTGAAAACCACTGCCCGAGATCTTCAGTCTAGGATATTCTACATGGACACCACACAATCAGGATATGTTGGCTTTCTGAATTTTGTCTTCCACATCTTGTTAAGAAATGCACCACTGAACAAAACAGTGCGAGGACAGCAAAAGCCAGTGATACCCTGATGCTCAGTTTATGAATGAAAACCTTTGCTGTAATGAGAACTGCACCAGAGAAACCTGATAATCTCCCTCAGGTTTCTCAGTATACAGTCCCAGGCCAAATGTGCAATTTTGTATTTTCTGTTAAGAATGCCTCAAGGGCATGTAATTCCTAGATTACCAGCTAGACCTTTTGCTGGTATTCCGAAACTGTCAAATAGGAAGAATTATCAGGTATGCAGCAAAATACTCAATTTTCAATTTTTAGTTCTCTTATCGCATCAATAAGTATGCTTAGACTTACTATGCACATGATATATAGGACATCATTAATTTTCATGGGACTAAATAAAACATTATGGGACATCTTTAAGATTTAGTAAATATTTTTAAATATTTTACAGCAGCAAGAATAGCTGTGCAGTGATTTTTTTGTTTGTCTGCTTTAACAAATTCAATGATAACTGAATGGAGGGGTGGGGATCTTAGTTTTGTTACCTGCACGTTTCCTATATCTGATGTGCCGCAAAGGATCAGGTCCGCTACATCACATTGAAGTCTAAAGCCACACCATGATTCAAGAAGTGCATGGTCAATGATCCAGAAGGTCTCCGTCCAGAAATGGAGAGCTCAAAGATGACCTGATTGATGGCTGCTGAAGTCAGTTCTTTCCCCTTTCCTCTTTAAAATGGTAATGATAGTGGGCTCTTTGAAGTTTGAAGGCATTTCTTTACAGCTCCATATACTGAGGAAAAGCCTGTGCAGATGTCTACATAGTAACTCCCTCCCCTGCTTGAGGATTTAAGCAGCAATGCCATCAGATCCTAGGTATTTTCAGTCTTCCTGGGCCTGACACAAATTGGAATGATCAACCCACTATCTTTCAAAAGGAAAAACATTCTAATATAACAACCTCCATCAAAAACAAAACAAAACAAAACAAAGACAGACTGTTTTCTTATGAGACTCTAAGCGACCCAAAAAATATATAAGTTGCATTTTGAATTGGCTGACAGATCTCTATTGACATAAACATTCAATTTCAGAAAACTTACATTTGGCATCTGGGATACTGTGATATGGAGACCACACAAGCATTCCTCCATTGTCTTTATCTGTATACTTTGTAGCACCTGGGGAAAAAATGCATTACTTTAAATATGATGGATTTTATGTACATTTAAAATAAGTATAAACAAAGTAAGCTTTATTTCTATTTTAGTACAGTACCTGCAAGAGAACAAAGGAACAAAGTACGAGGAAACAGAAGGAAAATGGATTTACATTAAATATACTAAGTATTTCATTTATGGAATTGAAAATTTCACAAAGACTGAACTTAATCCCCTTTAAAGAGAAAGACTTTCTTAAGGACACTACATAGCTCTATTTCTTGACAGGAAATAAACCTGATTTAACCTTCTAACATTATTTGGGAATCATTAAAAATTCTGACTTAAAACTAGAGAATACCTCAGGTGGTAAGTTATTTGTTTTGCCTCATATCTGAATGGGCCAAGATTACCATCATTTAAAAATACTTGTATCTGTTTTTTATGGTTTTTATTTAATCTTACTCCTTGTGAGTCTGCCAACCATTCCTTTTTAGTGTTAATTTCATTTATTACAGTTTATATTTATAAAATTATGTGCTCTGTGTAAGAAAACAAAGTCAAAAAATGTAGAAGTTAATAATGCTGTTTCTTGAAGTAATCAGTCTACCTCTATTGTAGAAGCACACCATTACTGTTGCTTATTTCTAATCTGTTATGATCTAAAAAGTCAGAAAAATCAAGCTCTATTAAAACTGCATTAAGGATAGAATGAATGAAAGCCGACACAGCTGTCCCAGTGCCAAGTACATGCCCGTGGGTTCTGTCTTTTAATTACTCAGTGGTCTTTTCTGGTTTCTTTCTAATTCCTAGGTGCATTCAAGTTAATTAAAACTATCAAGAAATGAAGCATTGTTGCCACCTACTTAAAGACTTGTCTATGAATATATCATAATTGACTTTTATGAGGTATTGATAGCTACCACCAACAAATGGCAAGAAATCCAAAATTATTCACATAAAACATTAACAGAATTCTGAGGTTAAACTGTAATCATTCAGAAAGTTATAAAATATTTGGAATAAAGAACATTCACTTCCAGGGGTAAAGGAACTACTAGTATAATCTCAATCTAGAGAAGTTATCTATCCAGGAATAATCTAATATAGTTCAGTAGTTTTTAATCTTTGGAGAATCATTACACATCACTACTGCATATTCAATCAACAAATTATAGAAAATGATATATTGTTAGTGAAAATATGAAGCTAAGATTGTTTAAAAATTTTTTAAAATTTTTTACTATAAGGAAAAACTAAGGATGGAGAAAAGAGAAATGAGAGAACAGTACCAAAGTATTAGAAAAATCATATTTACAAAATGAATCTACAAGCAAACCTACTGCGTTTTGTCATTATCTTTAATAAAGAGGACAAAAAACTGAGAATTTAAGAAAATGCAAAGAAGTACATTATCTAAAATTTATATTCAATGAAAACAAATTCCAATTTTAAAAACTTCAAAAACAAGATACATATTAAATTAAATAAAATACAAACACAAAAGCAAAATTGGCAGCCAAAGGAAATAAAACAGACATATCCAAGTTGGTCAGAAATCTTTACTGCTATTTCTAGTGCGTATTCTAAACTTCAATTCTTCAACATGGACTGATTTTTTTCACAATGGATTATAACAATAAGATAATTTAAATCCTACTTAACAGAATAAGGAATGCAACAAAGAAAGGTTCCCATTAAGTCTCAAGTCTTAAGAGCATATCATGCTTAATATTTAAACATATTTCCTGCATCTGATTCTTGCACTATAGAAAAATCTTAATTAAAATATCTTCACGAAATGTCTCTTCTTACACAGATACAAACTATTTTTTTGTATTTTTCCCCATGAAGCATAACAGTTAAGTTTCCCAAAAAATTCTTAGGACTACAATTAAGGGCTTGATCTGACAAAAACTGACATCCAAGCTGTGGGGACTAGCAGCTCTTCTAATATGGGGGTGGGGGGGCTAATAGGGAGAGTGATTGTGTCTGGTAGCAGAGAATGCCTAATTAGGCATTTCACAATGTTCCTTTTTTTTTTTAAGATTTTATTTATTTGAGAGAGAGAGAGATAGCAAGAGAGAACATGAATGGGAGGCAGGGAGAGGGATAAGCAGACTTCCCGATGAGCAGGGAGCCCCAAGTGGGTCTCAATCCCAGGACCCCGCGATCATGACCTCAGCTGAAGGCAGACGCTTACCTGAGCCACCCAGGCATCCCCACAATGTTCTTTTCCTAACCTTGAACTAAATTCCACCATTTTTAATCATGTATGTGTCAACTAGGCCAAGGAGATGACTGATGTTCACAGGAAATGAGGTATTTTAATATAATGGTTGAGTGTAACCATTATAGAGCCAGACTCTAATTCGAATTCAAGCTCTGCCATTTCTCAGCTTTGTCATCTTAGGGAAATTTACCTATATTGTCCATGCCTCAGTTTAATTCTTTAAAAACACAGATGATTAGGGAGGGGTACCTGGGTGGCTCACTCGGTTAAGCAGCTGACTATGGATTTCAGCTCAGGTCATGATCTCAGGGTCCTGGGATCCAGGCCCCACACTGAGCCCCCATGCCGGGCTTCCTACTCAGTGGGGAGTCTGCTTGAGGATTCTCTCTCCCCCTCTCCCTCTGCTCCTCCCCACCCTGGCATACAGTATGCATTACCTAAACCTTATTATAATATATGCTCATTGAAAGCAGTTTCTTGTTCCCTTCTATCTCTACTCTGAAAAGACTTCTTGTCACCTTATCAAATAACACAAATGAATAAAAACTCAAGGGGCTCTAACACAAACAGCTGATGCCTTCTCTCACCAAACCCTTGAAAATGAGATTGGATGGGGCTCCTGGGTGGCTCAGTCATTAAGCGTTTGCCTTCGGCTCATGATCCCAGGGTCCTGGGATTGAGTCCCACATGGAGCCCCGCATAGGGCTCCCTGATCCGCGGGAAGCCTGCTTCTCCCTCTCCCACTCCCCCTAGTTGTGTTCCCTCTCTCAGTCAAATAAATAAATAAAATCTTAAAAAAAGAGAGAAAATGAGATTGGATAGCTGAAATGACCTTTTTGTTTTTCTAACAACTCAGACCTGACTTCTCTCCTATAAAAGGAGAAAGTAACTTGTATTATTAAAATACTGGATGCTTTGCATCCAATAAAGTTCTATCCTTTCCATTATAAAAGCTGGAGAAAAATATCTAAAGGACATAAACTCAATATTTATTTTGCTTTTATGTGTAACAATATTTAGCATTATATCTCAAAACTGTCCAATACTCAGAATAATACTGAAGGGATGCCTGGGTGGCTCAGTCAGTTAAGCATCTGCCTCTGCATCAGGTCATGATGCCAGGATCCTGGAACTGAGTCCCACATCCGGCTCCTTGCTTAGCAGGGAGCCTGCTTCTCCCTCTGCCTGCCACTCTTCCTGCTTGTGCACACACTCTCTCTCTCTCTGACAAATAAATAAAATCTTTGAAAAAAGGAAAGAAATAATACTGAAAATTAAGCTTGCCTCACCAACAAAATAATCCAGCCTTAGAAATAGCCTATCTTCCAAATAGATTAAAAAACAAACCAAAGCCTAGATAGCAAGCTACACTTGGGGCACCTGGGTGGCTCAGTCGGTTAAGTGGCTGCCTTCAGCTCAGGTCATGATCCTGGGGTCCTGGGATCAAGCCCCACGTCTGGCTCCCTGCTCAGCGGAGAGCCTGCTTCTCCCTCTCCCTCTGCCTGCCACTCTGCCTACTTGTGTTCTCTCTATCTGTCAAATAAATAAATAAAATCTTTAAAAAAAAAAAAAGCAAGCTACTCTCATTTTTAAAGACTGTATAGTAGCATGACAGTTCTGGAAACAAAATTATTAAACAATTTTTAAAAGTATGAAATGAAACACTTAAAAGTTTAAACCTTTTGAAATCTTTTAGATATCTTAACTGCAGTTGGTAAAGTACATTTATAAGACCAATTGGGGAAAACCAACAACTAAAAAAACAAAAGTATAATTTTGATAAGCTAGGATTTTTACACCAATAGCAAATTTCAAAATAAGTACAAAAATAAAAATCCACTTCTTAGATTTAAGACATTTAGAATAAGGATTTTGATGGAAATCATGGTACAAATGTTCTATATAAAGAACTTAAGTACTGAGAATATTAAGACACATATTTTTAAAAATTCTCCTATTTATGAACTGGGTTCTCACTTACATATTTAATTCACTACCTTCAAACTGGGATAAATAACGACTTTCCAAGAGGTACATAAGCATAAGTAAGTTTTATGGGAATCAATTTTCAGAACTTTAGTTTCCCTGTGGGCTCTTTCCCAAGACAATCGGCCTGAGAACTCACCTGCAGTCTAAGCTATATGCTCATTCTACTTATGACCTCCTTCACAAACGCCCTTCTCTCACTTAAAAAAAAAGGGGGGGTAGCTCTCTCATCCCACCCTACATCTGACAAGAGTACATCGCCCCAAATTTTAAGACCTCTACAGTGCCAAACAAAGGGTGTCGGCAAGGCTCTCCTTTACTCAAGACATCTTAGCTATTACAATTCCAATCAATTACACATTAACTGTAATAACTCAAACCAGAAGAGACTTAACACTTAGAACCTTATGTTCACAAGAATACATATTACAGTGGTAGAGAAATTGGATAGGTGATCAATAAAGCACATTCAAGCACAAAAATATAAAATTCCGTGGGGGAAAATGCATGGAAATGATTTCAAAGATAAAAAGGGAAAATGTAAACTTTCAGACTGTTCACCTATTCATACTTTTTATAAAATAGATACTATCATATTACTCTAGTATTTATATTTAACTGGATGCATTTAAAATAAGGGTATAATGGCTTTATTTCAAAGTGCTAATATTTTCAATACACTGGAGATATGTTTTTCAACGATTTAAACACAGCAGTAAGTGACAGATGTTAAAAATATGCGAGAAAGTATTTTTTTGAAAATTCTTTTATGAATATACAAGCAAAACATTTTGAAGACCATTGTTTTATAGACAATAATTTTCACCTAATCTTATGATATAGTTAACATTATCTCCCTTTCACAAATGAGAAAATAAAGGTATGGATACATCAGGTAGTTTGTCAAGGTCACTACGCCATATTAGCTAAAAGGCATACGGGAAGAGGTGAGACTTAATCACCACACGAAACTGCTCCTCCTTGATATACAAATAGTCAGGAGGCACTAAATAAAAGTTGGTAATTGAAAAACCTGGAGAAAAAAAGGCACCTAAGAAAATAATCAAATCCAGTTAGTAAATTTTTATAAAGGCATTCTTAGCAATGGTGTTAACATAAACTGTTCCTAAACTTATATTCAGTAGTTCCAATTTAAATCACAATTCTTCTCATATTTTCTAAAATACTCATTTTAGTAAGTCATTCTGTGTTTGATTTCTATCATCACTATTAACTCCTCCAATAAAAATATCCTCACACACACACACACACACACTTTAATTTTCCTATATTCTGATCATAATCTTGGTACCTAAGGAATTTTTCTTCCAAATAATTTGGTTATGGGTAAATAATCTCCATGAAGGTAGACTGAATGGTTTATGAGACTAAAGACAAAGGTGTGAAGGAGAACAGGAGAGACAGGAATTGACCATTTCTCAATTTCTATCATTAATAAATATCTCTTTTCCTTTTACCTTTTCCAAGGAAATACGCTTCTTACCAAATTATATTGAATTGATGTGAAGTAGAAACTTCACACAACAGCACAACACTTAGAATAAAACAGAACAATGGCACTATATTGAAAGGCATAGAGGTTCAATATTTACTTTTAAAAAAGTGTCTAACAACTGATAATCTGCATTTGCTTGACAAGATTTGCTTATGATGGCTATACGAAAGCCTACCCAGGTTAAATGATAACTGGTTTTAGTTGTGTCCTTGGGGTCAGTATTCTTCTGCAAATTATTAAGGAGAAAATTTATACATGAATTTTTAAAATGTGACATTCTTATCCTAATAAAGAATATCAATTATAATCTGAGTAACTTGAAAATGACTTTAAAAAAAGTAAAAATTCAGTGATTTCTTCCCCCAAATATTCTGCTTAGGTTCAAAATAGTAATAAAAAAATGGGGTCGTGTGGGTGGTTCAGTGGGTTAAGCGTCTGTCTTTGGCTCAGGTATAGATCCCAGGGTTATGGGATTGAGCCAAGCTCCCTGATCAGTGGGGAATCAGCTTCCCCCTCTCCCTCTGCTCCTCCTCCCTGCTCATGCTTTCTCTCTCAAATAAAATCTTTAAAAAACAAAATAAAAATGATGATCAAGTACACTGGGTAATTCAAATAGTGTCCATGTGAAACTACCTGAAGTGTTCTGTACTTTTAGTGAATTATTTTTCAAATTTTGAAATTTATTCTAGTATTTATCATGAAAACCAAAAAACAAATAAAACAAAACAAAAAAACCTTTACAGTGATCTAGACCATGGCATATATAAATTTGTTTCAGCAAGAAGTCTGGTTTTTAGACACAAGACCTCCTACTCAACCTGTGTACAGTTGTCTATGAAATATAAACCTACTTAATGGAGCAAAAAAATAGCTATGTTTATTAACTTATGGAATAGTTCTGGCTGTTGAATTCTAATTTGTAAGTCAGTTTATCATTTCCCAAAAAAGCAGAGTACCAATGAATGCCCCAAATCATAAAGATATGTTTGCAGAATCATTCTTAATTATTAAATTTGATCTTTACTGAATAACTGCCATATGCCCAATCATGTATTCCTGGTAAGAATTCCATGAAGCAGGGCACCTGGGTGGCTCAGTTGTTGGGCATCTGCCTTCAGCTCAGGTCATGATGCCAGTGTCCTGGGATTGAGCCCCACATTGGGGGTCCCTGCCCGGAGGGAAGCCTGCTTCTCCCTCTCCCACTCCCCCTGCCTGTCTTCCCTCTCTCGCTGTGTCTCTCTGTCAAATAAATAACGTCTTAAAAAAAAAAATTCCATGAAGCATTTTTTATGTCCATTTTACAGCTAGGGAAACTAAGGATCAGAAAAGGTCACTGACTTAGAACACAAAATTAAAACAGCTGGGAACTGAATTCAGTCTATCTTAAGCCAAAGCATGCATTTTCCAAATATCAAGTTAATACCTGAAGCAGCATAGTAATGTGAAAGTGTTATTCACCTACTAACTACATCAGTAAAATTAGTTTCACAGAACATTTAAAATTATTTGAAGACCACCAGTACACACACTCGATAGCTTCTGAATAAAATGTATTAACAGCTATGTCATTTAGAAGGCAACCCACATCTAGTGAGCACTTCTATCATAGCTTTTACCTACTGAAAAACAGACTGCACTGACAATTCTTGTAACACTCATTATTTTACCCTCCCCCTCGGGACAGGAGGAGAGGCTACTTAAAACTCTTTATTTTGCATTGCTGTAATGGGCAGGGGATGAATGATAATACCTATGCCCTATAACGAAGTAAAGAAGCTATCCCTCCCTCCCCCCCCTCCAAAAAAGTAAGCCCTATTAATATCTAATACGGAATTCAAAAGTCCGACACAATGTTATTAGGAGTGGGCAATGGGCAAAAAACTGACCAATTGTAAGGGAAAAAGGGGGCGGGGGGAAGAGCTCCTTCAAAGTCTGTCCAAAGCCTGAACTGTAGAGGGTCTGGGGTGGGGAGAAGGAAACACGCTCCACTCCGGGAGGCTCCAGCAAGGGCGCCTCCATATGCGGAACTCTCGCCCAATCCCCGTCCAGGCTGAAATCCCGTGACCGCCAGAGAGCCTGTTTGGAGAAAAGTAGACAGGGAGCCCGCAAGCTGGGTTGGCAGAGGACGCTGGAACCTGGCTGCTCGGGGAGAAAATGTCTCCTTGGCAGCTGCAGCCACTGTCCTGTGGTCTGACTTCCTAGGGCTGGCTGGAGGGCGAGGTGTGCCTCTGGCTTCTCCCCACCCCCTTCCCCCATCCCTTTCTCTCCGCGGCTCCTACACTCCGCAGAGCTTCGCGACCAATGCTACACCACCTAGCTAAAAAGAAAGAAAAAAGAAAATCCCGTGTGCGCGCGGGTCGGCCAGGGCTCGCCCTCGGCTTCGGCCGATGACAGCAGCCCCGGCATCCGCCGCCCTTGCGGAGCGCGGCCCTCCGCTCCCGGGGGCCGGCGGTGTGGCAATTGACATTTGCACGGTTCTTCCACACGCAGCCCGCACACCCTCTCCTCCAGCCCTCGGCCCAGCAGCCGCTCCTTCCCCAGCCTCGGACCCCCGAATCCGCCGAGGGCCGCCTCCCTCTGCTCTCCCCGACCTCGCCCCGGGCTCATGGGGACAGAAAGGCGATGCCACCACCGGGCAAGTGGCCTCCGAAGGAACCATGTTAACCTTGCAATGCACACATCTGCCCACACGCCCTGTGTCACAGCCCTGCCAAGCCTGACAGCCTCCCCGCCAGATGCCTGCCCATCCCAGCCCCGCATCCCCTCCCAACCGCACACCCGGACCCCTACCTCGGCCGCCCCTCTACCCCTTCCACCCTAAACCATTCCCAGAAAAGGGGAGACAGGATTTGCTTAAGCAAATATATCTACCTGGATCAAATTCAGGGATCCGAGCTTGGTATTCAGCTCCGACTCTCATCCCAACATCTGCAAAGCAATGCCAAAGAGAAAAAAAAAAAAAAAAGAAAGAAAGAAAGAAAAGAGAAAAAAAAAGAAAAAGAAAAGAAAGAAAAAAAAGAAAAAGGAAGAGACACTTAATAAAATATAAAAATTGCTGGAGGGAGGAAAGAAGCGGCGGGTGGATGGAAAGATATTAACTCCGGGCGCTCCGGGAGATGGCAGCGGATGGGGGCGGGGAGCGGGGGGGGGCGAGGGCGGAGGATTGGTCGAGGGCGGAGGGACGGGGGTCGCGGGGGGTGCTGCTGCACTGCACCGGGAGTTCGAGGCTACCGCAGCGCCCGGGCTCCGAGGGGAGGGAGGGCGGGAGCGCGGCGAGGGGAGGGGGCTGGGGGAGGGGAGGAGGGAGGGGGGCAGGCGGGCTGGCGGGGAGGAGTTCGAGGCTACCACCGTGCTCGTCGTCGCTGCTGCAGCCGCTCTCGGGCTCGGAGTAGTGCAGCCCGCCGTTGGTGGACGAGGCGCCGCCGCCGCCGCCGCCGCCGCCCGCCGGGTTCTTGGCGCTGCCGTTGGCCGATCGGTTCTTCCCCAGTAACTCGGGCCCTTTCTCCATCATGCCGGGCATGGTAGAAGAGGGGAGGGGGAAAGGTGAGGGGAAGCGGTAGGCGTCAGGGTGAAGGGGGAGATGGCTTACGAGTGCGGGCGGGAGGGAGAGGAGGAGGAGGAGGAGACGGCGGCGGCAGAGGAGGAGGAGGAGGGTGTTAATATGGAGCCGCCATAACCGCCCCGGTCCGGCAGTAGCGCAGTCGCCTCACAACAACCCGCCCCGGCCCCGCCTCTCTCCCCTCCTCCCTCCTCCCGCCCCGCGCAGTCCCGGGCGCCCCTGTCGGCCGCGCCGCGCTCTTCGCCGCCGCCGGTATCACTCCGCCCCGCAGGGAGGTTCCGGCCGCGGGGCGGGGAGGGACGGGGGGGGGAGGAGGAGGAGGGGTAGAGGGGGAGGGGCGGGGAAGCCCCGCTCGCTGGCAGCCCGGGCAACCCCAACCGAGCTAATAAAATCGCCGCAGAGGCGCGGCCGCCTCTCCGGCTTCCTTCCTAGGGGGCGCTCAGGCGCGCGGGCGGAGGCGAACACGAGGGCGTGGGACTCTTTGCCCTCTCAGGGCGGAAGGAACGCACCCAGCCTGAGAAGGGGCCGGCGCGAACCGAGGCGCCGGAGTCAGGGCAGCGGCCCCCCTCTCTCGGAGGGTTGCGGGTCGGCACGGCCGGGCAGGTCTCGGCGGGAGCGTGGCCCCTTGAGATCCTGCGGCGGTTCGGCTGCTCGGCTTCGCGGCTCTTCCGCCGGCGTCGAGCTGGTGTCGCGCCCTTGTCCGCCGCGGAATCGGACTGGGTGACCCGGCGCCCTCCGAGTTCCAGGCCCAGAGCAGCAGACGCGGTCATGATGATCTGGACGCTGCGTTTTGTTAAAAGCCTTTCCTCCATTTTCTCTTCTCACCTTTGCTTTATTTTCATCCATTTTTCGCCTTTACTGTTTCATTAGTTAGAAAGTGGGTGTTGTCAGTGGTGAAATAAAATTACGACCGGGGCGTTATCCAGTGGTGCTTCCTCAGGCCGCGCTGCCCCGTGGTCAGGGCTTGGAGCAGAGCTGTAGGGAGGGCGGAGCCCCCAGTAGAGGTGAGGCAGGAGCTGCATTCTGGCAGGGTTTCCAGCCTGGCAGGCTATGTGCTCTGTAATGCTTTTCGGAATTGCATTAGGCAGGAGGAATAGGGAACTGCTTATTTCGTTCATCAGATTTGAGGAAGTCTGCTCTGTGCCAGCCTGCCTGGCATTGGGAGCTATTTATTATATTTTTCTTTATTATTTATTGTTTTTGCACAGCAGTAAGAATTGAGGACATCCGGTGAACATGTAGTATGCAAATGAATGCAAAACAGTATTTATGGTCCATAGGTAAGGTATTCTCCCAAACACTTAAAAATTGTCCTGTATGAATTCTGTTATAGGTCAATGCGGAGTGGATCAAAGCAGAAATAAGCCTCTCTGGCTAGAGCAAGACTTCACTGAAAGCAGAAACATACCTAAAGCAGGAATGTCTCAATCAGGGAATTGGGCCAAAAAAAAAAAAAAAAAAAGCCTGGGAAGTAAATATTTGGCAGGATCCCCGTCTAAAGGGAAAAGTCTCCTGAGCAGGTACAAAACCTGTCTTGTTCTGATAGTGGAAGTAGTTTGATCTATCGAAGGTTGGTGTGATTCCCTTAGCTCATACAACTAAACCTCTTATTCATTTCTTTGTCTCAACAAACACAGTTCTGAATATTATTTTAATTCCTGTATAGTTTTTCTACACTGAGAGAATATCCTGGTCAAATGAATACCATTTCCTATGACATACACTTTTGATTGTAAATTAATACGTTGGTATTTCCATTTTTATACCAAGCCTCTAATGAACGTGATTCAGCATCTCTGATCCTGTAATGCAAAGGCCAGACCTGGAACTAAGTGAATTCACAAAAAGTAAATGTCACTCTGAGGCCTTTTGGCCACCATGCTAACTCCCCCAACTTTGCAACACTTTCCAGCCTCTTTTCTACTGAAAGGAATTTCTGCATATAGATCAAGGATTAAAACATTGTGAAGAGGGGCGCCTGGGTGGCTCAGTCGTTAAGTGTCTGCCTTCGGGCTCGGGTCATGATCCCAGGGTCCTGTGTTCGAAGCCCGCATCCCGTTCCGCAGGAAGCCTGGTTCTCCCTCTCCCACTGCCCCTGCTTGTGTTCCCTCTCTCGCTGTCTCTCACTGTCAAATAAATAAAATCTTAAAAAAAAAAAATGTGAAGATTTGGGGACTTTTGTAACATTTCTAATTATTAGTAAAACTCTTAAGATTCCACACTTTTCTTGAGTACAACAAAGAGGACAGAACAAGGAAGAATGCATTCCACTCTTGGGAGAAGAACTCAGGGATGGGGGCTTTTCTTTCTGTTTTGTCCCTGAAGAGAAGGAAAACCTGAAGCTGGCCTGGTTCTGAAGAATACTAAGCTTTAAAATGATTTCCCAACAGTTAATAAGAACAGTCTAAAAAAAGGAAAAACCTAAGAAGAAAATCCTGGGGATGTCTATAAGGGGTTAGAAGAAAAGAATATGGTCAAGGAAGAAGAAAGCTTTAAGAAAGGGTTAATAAATAATGTCTAGTGGTACAGAATCATGAGAAGGGCTTAAGAAAAGGCCTCTGGATTTGTTAACTAGAACAATATTTGTTATCTTGTTTGACTGCTTTTTGACTGTATTAAAATTTTTTTTTACTATTTTCATTATAGTTTAAATTTGGAATAGATGATACATCTCATAGTTCTAAAATCAAAAGATTTAAGAGGAAATACTTCACTATTGTATTGGACATCCCAGCAACAAAAAGGCAAGGAAAAATATATAAAGATTGTTTTTGTTTTGTTTTTAATTTATTTGAGAGAGAGAGCATGCATATGAGTTGGGGAGGGGCAGAGGGAGATAGAGGAGGAGACTCCTCACTGAGCAGGGAACCTGACTCTGGGCTTAACCCAAAGATCATGACCTGAGCTGAAGGCAGACTCTTACCTGGCTGAGCCACCCAGGTGCCCCCCAAAAGTATAAGGATTGGAAAGAAATACATAAATTTGTTATTTGGAGAAAGCATGATAGTCTGTATATAAGATAATCTGTAAACCTTTAGTATTAATAATGAATTTAGCAAGTTCCTGGTTACAGTCAGTATATAAAGGTCAATTATGTTTTAAAATACTAGCACTAAACAATTAGAAAATGGATTTTTAAAAGTGGTAACATATGAATGCATCAAAAATATCAAATATCTAGTGTATTAGCTTCCTGTGACAGCTGTAACAAATTACCACAAACTCAGTGGCTTAAAACAAACTCCTGTCATACTTCTGGAGACCAGAAGTCTGAAATCAAGGTGTGAGCAGGGCTGCACACCCTCCAGAGGCTTTAGGGAGAATTTGTTCCCTGCCTTTTCCAGTTTCTGGTGTCTGCTAGCGTTCCTTGGTTTGAAGCAGCATCACCCCAATCTCTGCCTCCATCTTCACATTGCCTTCTCGTCTATGTGTGTTATGAATTTTCCTCTTCCTCAATTATATAAAGACACTGATAGCATTAGGATCCATCTGGATAATCTAGGATTATTTCCTTGTCTCAAAAGCCTTAATCACATCTGCAAAGACCCTTCTTCCAAACAGGGTAACATTTATAGGTTCCAGAGATTAGGACCTGATATATTAGGGGGCACCACCTAACATATGGCACATAGGAATAAATCTTAATGAAAGGTGTATAAGAACTCTATACTGAAAATTATATTCAAAGAAATTAGAGAAGACCCAAATAACTGGTCAGATACAGTATGCTCATGGATTGGAAGATTCAATATTGGAAAATGTCAGTGTCCCCAGTTGATCAGTAGATTTAGTCTGATCCCTATTACAATCCCAGCAGAGTGTGTGTGTGTCATTTGACAAGCTGGAATTTAAATGGAAATTCAGAAGATCAAGAACAGCCAAGACGGGTGCCTCAGTCGGTTAAGCGTCTGCCTTCAGCTCTGGTCATGATCCCAGGGTCCTGGGATCGAGCCCCACGTCGGGCTGACTCCCTGCTCCACGGAAAGCCTGCTTCTCCCTCTCCCACTACCCCTGCTTGTGTTCCCTCTCTGGCTGTGTCTCTCTGTCAAATAAATAAATAAATAAATAAAACCTTAAAAAAAAAAAAAAGAACAGTCAATATAATCTGGAGGAAGAACAAAGTTGGAGGGTTTATACTACCAGGTGTTAGAAAGTAGACCAATGGAATTGAATAGAACTCATGTGAACATTTTATTTATGCGAGGGTGACACTGTACTAATGTGGAGAAAACAATGGATGCTTTAATAAATGTTCCTGGGTCAATTGAATGTCTATGTGGAAAATAAAAAACCTTGGGATGCCTACTCATACTAAAAACAAAAGCAAAACAAAATAGATTATGGACTTGAAAGTAAAAAGTAAAACAATAGTGCTTTTAGAAAATACCATGGTTTATTGTCTTTGTAACTTTGGGTAGTCAAATTATTTCTCAAATAGGACATAAAAAGTATGAGGAAAATATTGAGCATTCCAGGTACGGGGCACTTAGCTAGCTCAGTCAGTAGAGCATGAAACTCTTGATCTCAGGGTTGTGAGTTCAAGCCCCCCATGTTGGGTGTGGAGGTAGCTTAAAAATAAGAAAATCTTAAAAAAAAAAAAAAAAGGAAAGGAAACAGTATGGGAAATGCAAAGAATCTTGAATTGTGTTATGTCAAGGAGCTACAAATAATTTTGTATTCTTGGAGCATGAAGTGAACTCAGAATGGGCCTAGAGAGTTAGGCAAGGACTGAACCACATAAAGGCCTTGATAGTGTTCAAAGGGTTAAGCAATTTATAGATAATGGAAAATAGATCAGAGGGATCTAAGCAAGAGAGTGATTTAGTTCAATTGGTATTTTAGATAAAAATTGAATGTGGCAAATCAATTAGACTGTTAAATTAGTTAAGAAATTATGAGGTTTAAGTTATGGCAGTGGTAGCAAGAATAGAATTGGGGACAGATACAAATAATTAGGTAAAATGAGCAAAGTTTGGGGATTGGTTGAATATGGAAAGGAAGAGGGAATGGAGGAATCTAAGCTGAAGCGAGGATTTTGGCTTGAATGTCTGGGTGGATTGTGTCAACAACAGAGTTGGTGAATACTGAAGACTTACCAGTTTGAGGGACAAGGAGAATGAATTCATTTCCAGATATGTTGG